CTCGGCAAGCTCCCCGTTCAAGAAAGCCGACTTGACGTCCATATGATGGACAAGCCAGCCCTCCTGAGCAGCGACAGCCAACAGCATCCGCACCGACTCCATCCTCGCCACCGGCGCGAACACCTCATCAAAGTCGATGCCGCTCTTCTGGACATATCCCTTCGCCACCAAGCGTGCTTTGTGCTTCACGATGGCTCCCTGCTCGTTGCGCTTGAATTTGAACACCCACTTGAGCCCGATAGCACGGTGCCCTTGTGGGAGCTTGACGAGCGCCCATGTGTCGTTCTGCTCGATCGAAGACAGCTCCTCGAGCATGGCCTTCCTCCACGCCTCATCGTGACGCGCCTCATCGAACATGGTTGGCTCCCCCTCAACGCCCATCAAGAGTTCTGCCAGCGCGCGTTCAGCCTCCTCTGGCACTGGTGCGTCACCGAGCACGTTGTCCAGTGCCCGGAATCGCAATGGCGCGTCGTCGGCGTCAATGTCCAGATCCGGATCCCCTGGCGGAGGGGACACGAACTCCACTCCAGCTGGCGTTCCTGGTGCAGGCGAGTCAATTGGTGCAGCCTCCTGCACCAGTGTCGATGGAGAAGCCGCCGGGCCCATGGGTGATGTCGAGGGTCCCGGCGAGCCTGGTGGCGTGTGCGCTGGTGACTGCGGCACATGTTCACCTCCTGGTGCGAGCAGTGTCACGTACTCCACCGTGAACGGCTCCTCCGAATCCACGTCCAGTGAGTCATCCGCCGTATCTTCCCACTTCCAGGGCCTCCCTTCATCAAATACCGCATCGCGCGATATGCACACCCTCCTGGTGCACGGGTTGTAGAAGCGGTAGGCCTTGGATCCCGGCTCGTAGCCGATGAACGCCATAGGAGTACTCCGGTCGTCCAGCTTATGCTGGTGTCCGCCGGCGACCTTGACATGGGCAGTACAACCAAAAGTGCGGAAGAAGTGAACAGCGGGCTTGGCGCCATACCAGACCTCATACGGCGTTTTCCCGTCCACGCTCCGGGTCGGCGACCGGTTCAAGATGAACACCGCAGTGCAGACCGCCTCCCCCCAAAGCCAGCCGGGTACCTTCATGCCTTTCATCATGCTCCTCGCCATCCCGAGCACGGTCTGGTTGCGCCTCTCAACCACGCCGTTCTGTTGTGGAGTGTACGGCGCGGTGAGATGGCGCTGGACTCCCGTGTCAGCGCAGTGCTCCGCGAAGGCATGCACCGTGAACTCGCCTCCACGGTCAGACGCAGCAGCGCTCCCACCTTTGCGCCCGGCCGTTTCTCCAAATTTTGCTCGCACCGATGATGGCTAACGCGGCCTGATCCTTAGACGCCAGAAGAGTGAGCCACATAAACCTGCTCCTGTCATCAACAACAAGCAGGAAAAGGCGTTTGCCGCCCGGCGTGGGCGGGGTGATCGGCCCACACAGGTCGGCGTGAACCAGCTCCAGTGACTTGGACGCCCGGAACCTGCTCACCGCCGGGAACGGGCGTCGACGTTGCTTCCCGGCGAGGCAACTCTCACACACCTGCTCGACATGGTCGATTCGTGGGAGGCCCCGTACCATCTCCTTCTGCGCCAACAGCTTCAGACCATGGAAGCCCAGGTGCCCGTACCTGGTGTGCCACTTCCACGTCGTGTCGTCCGCGCGCGCCGCGAGGCACACCGGAGCGCTCAGCTTGACATCGAGGATGTAGAGGCGGTTGTCAGCACGAGGTACCTTGGCCAGCAGGCGACGTCGCTGGTCCCAGATGCGCAGAACTCCATTCTCTATCAGCACCTTGTACTTGCCCTCGTCCAGCTGCCCGAGGCTGATGATGTTGGCGGTGAGCTTGGGGATGTAGTACACGCCGCCAAGGGTCTGGTGCTCGCCGGTCTTGCAGCTGAACAGGATCGTGCCGCGCCCGGCTATGTCCACCACCGAGCCATCTCCAAACCGAACGGTGCCGCGCACGCCCGTGTCGAGCTCGGAGAAGGCCGAGCGCACGGTGGTCATGTGATTTGTGGCGCCCGTATCGAGGATCCACCGGGTACTGCCCTCCTCGGCGTTCTCCTCGAGCTGAACGAAGAGTTTGTCCTCCCGGATGTGCACCGTCTCGCTCGCCGCAGGTGCTGTCGGGGTGGCGAACACCACGTGAGCCGTGGCGTCCACCGGTTCAGGCGCCTCGTCGTCGAACACCCAGCGCGTCCGGATGCCGCCGTCGCCAATCTGGACGCCCACCGCATCCTTCTGCTTCTCGGGCATCACCGATACGGCGGTGACCGTGGTGATCCCCACCATCAGCGCGGCTTCCTCCTGGACCTCAGCCGCATGCGCCTGCTCATCACGCTTCTTCTTGCGACATTCCCGGGCCCAGTGCCCAGTTTTGCCGCAGTAAGCGCACTCGTCACTGGCGAGTTTCTTCTTGCCGGTCTCCTTCTTCCTGCCACCTGCGCCACCGGGTGGCCTGGAGCCGCCAGCACTCCCCCCACCTTGGGAAGCGCCGCCGCCGCGTTCGCGCCTCTGGTTCGACGACGGACCACGTCCGTTGCCAGAGGAGCCTCCTTCGCCGCCTGAGACTTGCAGCCGCGACACAAGTTCCTCCTCCGTGAGGTTGAGCCGCGCCGAGGACCTGCCATTGTCGCCACCAAGGTTGTACCGTTCCTCGGCCGCTTTGAGTCGCCCCACCAGCTCGTCCACTGACAGATCATCGAGGTCGAGCATAGTCTCAATAGCCATAACGATTTGGGCATACCTGGCCGGCGTGGCCTGCAGAAACTTGCGCACGACCTCCGGCTCAGTGTACCCGGAATCCAGCACCTCCAGTTGGCTTGCTAGATCGGTGATGCGGATTGCGAACTCGTCCACCGTCTCCGAGTCCTTGAACCGCAGTGCCTTGAATTCCCGGCGCAGCGTGTTGGCCTTGGCCTGACGCACGCGATCGACGCCGAGGTTCGACTTCTTCAAGGACTCCCACGCCTCCTTTGCCGTGATCTTCCGAGCGATGGCGCCGTGCAGCTCCTCCGGAAGACCCAGAGTGATGATCTCAAGGGCACTCCGGTCTTCTATGTAGTCGAAGGGGCCGAGGCTCACCGTCTGCCACAGGCCTCTCGCCTGCAGCTTCAACTTCATCATCGCCGCCCAAGAGTAGTAATTGGACTTGGTGAGGATCGGGAACTTCGCCTTCTCCTCGCGCACGACGCGCGGTGCGCGGTCACCACCGCCACCGCTGCCCGACGCACCCGACGGGAACCGCCTTGCCGGTGAGGACGAGCGGAACCTGCGCCGATCCATGGCTAACCTGGCTCCGATACCAGATGACGTCTCCTAAACGCCGGCGCCCGTCACCGGAGTCGAAGAGGATGACCCAGAAAACTCGGTGAACTCACGCACACACGCGAACACTGTGAAACTTAGAGCACACACAAATGTTTTGGTGCCGAGAACCCACCTACGGCATTTTCAGACTCTATTCATATATATACATGCAGTGAGCAGCTCCTGGCCACTCAAACTCAACGCCATGCACGCCACTACTTCCTACAGGGCCGCGCCATCCCACGACCGAACTAGTGGAGTGCGAAGCTTCAGCTACGACTCAACAGAAAGACGAAAACGTGGCCACCTCCTTGCGGACAATGCGCAAGTCAAGGGCCTTACATGACGCACCTCTAGCAGGTTCAGTTATTGGACTCTGAAACTCTGAAAAACAAGACTCTGAACCTAGACTGAACTAACTGAATGAGCTAACACGTTGCTGCCTGGACCCAGATGCTTCACAGATGCATCTCTTGCACCAGATCAAACTACAACAGCAGACAAAGCAGCAGGACTTGGAGACCAATCCAGCACAAACAATTAACATCCAAGGCACAATTGACAAAGCGTCATCAGTGATTATGGCAGAGGCAGCAGCTCCAGCTTTAGCAGCGAGGATTGCCTCTGTGATCAACTTACAACGCTCAAATTACATATCTGACAGTGACTCATCGGTGAAATTCTTCAACTGCACTGACTTATCAGCACCACCTGACTGGAGGATAAAAGCTATCACGCAAGATTTCATTAATACAAATGGAGCCAATCAAACCAAAGTTTTCAAGATTGCAAGAGACATGAATCGTTCAGCACATGGCTCATCTAAAGAAGCACAGAGACTTTTATCCTCGCTTCCAGCTCAAACTTCTTTTACTTGCACACATGTTGGTCATGGTCATGGATGTCACAGTGCCCAGTTAAGGAAGCACTGAATACTGTAAATCTGGTGCCTTTTGGGCTGCTTTCTCTATGCTGCACCTAAATGAAATGAATATTGTTGTAAAAAAAAGTGGCACATGCTGTAGTATATAGTCTATTTATGCATCGAGCTTGATTAAGCGTGTTGGGTCTCTGTTGCTCTCGTGTACTATTTTGCCGTGTTCAGTTTGGGGAACTGAATGTGGTGGGTAAACTAGATGCATCAATCGATCACCATTTCAAGATTCGAGCAGCAAGATTTGATATATACCGTTGATCATTTGTAAGCTTGAAGATTTGCTAGTGATTAACAAGCAGCAGCAAGTGAAGTGAACTAGTGATATACTACTAGCAGCAGGCAACGCTAATTTGATATAAACCCAGCTTTTGTCAGAGAACGACTGCTCTAAACCCACTTTGGGTGCTGGGTGGGGCCGTGGGGGACAATCACCTGTTCGTTTGGGCGTATTTGACTTATAAGCCGTATTTTTTCAGCCAACGAACAATATTTTTTCTCTCATACCAAATTAGCCAACAGTACTTTCAGCCATGGCTTATCAGCCAGGCTATTAGAACAGCACAATAGGAAACCATTTTATTTGCCTTCCTTCCTCGGTTTCTCCGTTCCTTTCCTGGAGCAGTTCCAACTTCCAAGTCCCGTGAACCCAAGCCGCAGCAAGCAAGCAAACTCTCCCCTCCCCTTGTCTAGCTGGGGGTTTAACGCTTTAACCCCTCCCCTACCCTTCCTCTAATCCGCGATCACCCAACCCCCTTGCGCCGAGACATGAAAGGGGTTAAATCTCATATCATTGCGCTGGTGTTTTCCTTGGAAGGAATAGTATCTTGTGATTAGGAACTGAAATTCTGATTCTGTGCTTAGTTTAGGACTTCCTTGACTGCGAACACAGTTCTGTTGCATATTTTCTGTAAATTGCCTTCTATTTCTCTTCTGATAGACTGAGGCTCGGATTTAGGACCTTACTCCCCACTGTATAGATATTAGATAAGCCAGCTGGTATTTGCATTAATCATATTCTCATGCTATCAACCTGTTGTGATAACAGTTTGTTTTTTCCATCGCAGCTTGGTATTCAGCCCACGGCAAATATTCCCAGTACACCCCAAGAAGCTTGGGATGAACTGATTGCTCGCATATCTGGTTTTTTCATAGATGAGGTCAGTATTTTTGCCCCATGTTGATATAATGTCTTATCTGCTGTCCTAGTTCGTGAGTAAAGGTCTGTACACTGCTGCTCTTCTGCCTTCTGAGAAGTGCAGTAGAGTCATTGTTGGAATGCCAGGTTGTCTCTGTTTGGCAATGCATTATATTTAACTGTTGTGAGTCTTTCCTCAAAATTTAAGAATGAGGACCCAATATAGCACTGTAACTGACAACTTGTAGTAATAAGCAGCAAATACTGATCGAACATTAGGTTCCTTTTTTATTTTGACATTTTCTTATGCTAATATTTGTAGTTGTAATATAATCTGACTTGGTTCCCTACAATGTCAAGACCTGTGTCAGATTATTGGTAGTATAATTCACAGTGTAGGAACCATTCTGCCAACCACTCAAAGCATGCTACTGTTTATTCATGTCATATTTGAGCTTCGGTGCACTTTTAAAATTATAAAAAATTTAAAAAATCCAATCACCTCTTCTAACATCACCATACTACTGTACTTCATTTCAGAACTTCCTATCATCTACCCATCCTCTTGTTGGCCACTTGTGTGTGACTCTCAGGAGAACTGGAGATCTCATTGGGAGGATACCTCTGCCGGCTATTGCTGCATGTGATGTGAAGGTCAATACATTGTGCAAAGTGATCAACCATAGGGCAGAATTTGATCCTCTCTTGGTTTTGTCATTGATATACAATGCTGCGAAACAATCTCCTGGAGTCTCTGTTAGTGACAGCAACTTCTGGATTCAGAGTGAAAAGCCCTATTCTCCAGAGGCCGTTGAGTTGGCACTTGAGCGTTGGTCTGGTACAACAGACCCCATAGAAGTAGAAGCAATTATTGTTCCCCACGTGTTGGAGGATGAACTGAAGACAGTAAGAATTAACCTACGAGATAATGAACATTATATGAGTTATGTTGCAGCAGAGCTCTCAGCAAGTGATTCCTCTCATGTTCTTGTATCAAGGTAGGCAAAGAAAAACTAAGCAGTAAATTCCTGACTTCTGAACCTTTTCCATTATTCTTGCTGTGCATGACAATTTTGAAACATTTGTCTCACTGCAGAACAATTGGAAAAGCATCTTCAGAGATAAGGCTGTATTTTGCAGCCCCAAATATACATGTTGTTTCTGATATATCAAAACATGCGCTTGCTTGTCATGGAGATGGTGACATCAACTGGCTCTTGGCAAATATCGGATACACAAGGAGAGATTCGAAACTTCAAACTGAAGATGTCAATCTATGTACCTATTACAGGTACAGCTTTGTTGAATATTTCACTACAACAGCATTGTTGAATACTATTTCGCTATGCTAATCAATGAATCCGGATGCATTCCATTTTATAGTGTTAGTAGATATGGTTATTTTTTTCTCAGGAATCATTACATAGCTGTAGAGGTTGGCCTCGTGTTCTGTTTTTCTTTCATGTCTGGGCTGCTTTTATCTATTATTGAAGCACTGAATTTTGTATAGTTCTTCCGAGTGACACACTGACATGCTTTTGGTTCAGGATACTTCTGGGCAAGTTACCTGATGGAAATTGTAAGATGTCTAGGGACTCGATTCTTGCAGCGGAGCTTCCATCTGCATACTCTCATTTTAGTTGTAAAGGCCTCTCTCCACGAGATCTCCTTTGCTCATTTTGTCGCCTTCAGAGGTTGCCAGAGCCCCATTTTGCTGTCAGTAGGGTCTCCTGTGATAGGTTAATGTCAGCTGTGAGCTCTGAAGAAACAGGAGCACCAGCAGACAGTGTAGAAAATCAGTACACCAATGATGTCAGGATCAACAAGGAAACCCCAGATCTTTTTAAATGTGAAGTGAACATACGTTCACGGAAGCAAGAGATTTTACTAGAGTATTCTGCAGCTGACACTTTCCATATGCATTAAACTTTAACTTGTTTTGTCTCTCCTGGAATTGCAGAGCCTTCATCAGAAGCTGAGCAAGAAATCGATGATGCAGACAAATGTTCCAACTGCTGTGCTCTATGACGGATCAATAACGGACTATGATTCTCGCTTATATGGGTTCAATATTGGCACTTGTCTTGAGGTAACGGACCTTACCTCTGGGCTTTTATAAACACGACACTTTGCAATTAACTTCTTGGATCATACGGTTTGGGGTTGTTGCTGATGCATCTATAAAACATATCTATAGGATGCTCATGTACATAAACTAAATTAATGTTGTAGTTAACATCTGAGATAAATGGCATTGCTGTAAGTTGTAACATCATTATGCTCTGATACTCCGTGCTTTTTAGCGCTTCTCTAGATTGTAAAATGGAAGTCTCATGTCGGCACATGATTCGACTATGTGAAATGCAGGTGATCGAGCACGTTGAGGAGGACCAAGCGACTTTATTTGGCAACGTCGTCTTGAGCTTATTCTGCCCAACGGTGCTCATTGTTTCCACACCCAACTACGAATACAACCCTATCCTCCAGGGGTCAGCTATGCCCAACAAGGATGACGAGGCAGACGAAAGCGTTGGTCCCTGCAAGTTCCGCAATCACGACCACAAGTTCGAGTGGACCAGGGCACAGTTCCAGTGCTGGGCTACTGGCCTCGCGGTGAAGCATAACTACAGCGTGGAATTCTCTGGCGTTGGCGGCTCAAGCGAGGAACCAGGCTACGCTTCCCAGATCGCTGTTTTCAGAAGAATGATGCAGGGTCAGGAAGCAATGTGCCTGGACAAAGATGGTGATCAACCTTACGAGATTCTCTGGGAGTGGCCTAACGCGTGTGAGGAGAAGATCGGCACTGACCTGTGAACTAGGAGTCTAGGATGCACGTCACCCTGGGGTTTGAAATCATCCCCATCCCCCCGTATTAGAACTAAATAATCTGTGAGGAGAGTTTAGAACTAAATAATCTGTTAGGAGATTGGGTGTCCGACTTGTACTAAGAACACGCGGCATGCAAGTGCAGGAATTCAGAGTCTGCTTCTGGGTATGGATAGCCTGCAGTTACTACACCGTATATGCAAAGCATTTAGACCCCGGAGGTTAAGCCTAACAACCGCATAGGTGAACTGATTCCAAGCTTCGGAAGATAAAAGAAAGTAAAATATGTGTATGGCCTCACAGCAAAGATACTTATTTGCATACCAGAAATAGTATTCACAGTGGAAAAGGGTGGTCCTTTTTTTTTCAAAACCTAGTATAGATATTGACGCTCACGGACATATACAAACACTTGCATCTATGACTGAAAACGGTCGGAAACGATCAGTAGGAGGTCATTCAGTTGTGTATCATTTACGTAATATCGAATGTTGAATCTGTATACTAGGAAGGTCTAGCCGACCTATGGCTGTAACTGGTAGACCTTCTAGAGCGCTCGTCAGAGTACGTTGTTTGTATGGTTAAACTCTTCTTCTTAATTATAATGATGCGCAAATATATTTTTTCACATTGTTTTTAAAACAAAATTGATACAATATTGTCGGAAACGAGAACGGCATCGATATTCCGGCAAATTCAGAAACGAAACTATTCGATCAAAAGTACATCGATAACGATCGAAAATTATGAAAGCGATATCTAAAAGACAATAAACACACCAATATGCACACAACATGACAATTGCTATATATGAGCCATTTTACAATGGTTGAAAATGCTTCCTAACGCTGGCTGACGCTTTCTGATGCTTACCAAAATAGCTATTTTTGTTGATTTTATTCGTCCAAGAGCATTACGGTCATTTCGCACATCTCCCTTCCGACCATCCCGTGCGTTGACGACGAAGGATTCCGGTGCGGGGGGCACGGGGACCCACCTGCCATCCCGGAGCTTGATCTGCAGGCCCACCATGCGGATGGACCTGAGCACGGAGATGATCTGCAGGTCCGTGTGCTCCCCGAACCCCGTCACGCCGCAGTCCACCGGCGGCAAGCAGCTAAGCGGCGGGTAGTAGTGGTTCACGCGCACCACTGCCGCCGCCTTCCCCCCCCCCACCACCATCGCCCTCATCGGGGGCGGTCCACGCCTAGGTCCTCCGCTATGAGCTCCAAAGACCCGCCCAAGACACCTCCTCACATAAGCCGTGTACTCCTCCATGCCGCTCTGCATGCTCATGCATCCAAATCCGCCGAGTGAATCGACCCAAGTGTGTGCGTGCACGGCGAAGACGAAGCAAGATCAACAACTAGCTAGCTTACCGCAGCGAGGGCGGCAGGAGGAGACCTTGACGGTATTGGCACCGACGGAGAGGAGGAGGTACTCCAGCCACCCGACGTCGCCGTTGGAGCCGATGTCTTGTTGCTGTACCCCATGGGCGGGCGGCGCCGAGACATGTCTCAGCTTCTCCTGCGTAGGCGCGCGAAGAACGCCATCGCGCTGGCCTCCAGCCGCTCGACGCTGCTGCCGCAAGCACGCCGTGGTTGGTCGCCCTGAAGAAGCCCACGCTGCGGCACGCGTCGGCCACCGCCACGGCCGCGCCCGGCGCCGACAGGTCCACGTACGGGATGGCCGCAGCGCCTGCCTGCTGGATTTACTGTTCTACCTGGATTAAAAAAATAACTACGAAAAAGGAATTGCCACTCTTTTATTTGAAGTACTAATCATCTTAACTTTGGAGGCGTTGGGAGACGTTACGGCGCATATGGGCCCACCGACCATAGACACGTCCAACGCCTCCCGACGCCTTCCTCATTGACGCCTCTCAACGCCTTCCCTCATATAGGCCCATCAATCATTGACACAGTTAACGCTTCCTAACGTCTCCGCAACCATAATAAAAAAGTTCTATATATTAACCTAGGTCACATGAAAAATAATAGTTTATTAGTAATGATCCATGGCACAAGAGCCAAGACACATATATTATATAGTAATAAAATCACAGGACATAAAGGTTGTGCATTGTGCTGGAGTCGTGAGGTGCCCTCAAGGCCTCAATGGCTGGGGGGCGGGCTGGCCAATGGGCCTAGGCGCCTAGCCTGGGTACTCAGCGGAGATGAGATCGTGTGTCTCTGCCTGAGTTCGGTAATTCTCGACGGTAGATTATCGATTGAATACGGTATTTTTAGAAAACGATTAGAAGAGAGCTAAATCACTTTCATTTTCATTATTAGATGTTTTTACCGTTCTCGTTTCCGTTTTGTCGATAACCGTCACCGTTTCCATTTAGGGGGAAAATCGGTAATTTCTCAAAAACGATTTCCGGTGATTGAGAATTACCATTTTTGTCTTCAGCCCTACTTGCATCCTACTTTATGAGCATCTTCGAGGGATTGAGTTAGACCGGTAAGTCTTAAGATTGATGAAGTTATCACATGAACCTCGCTGCCAATGAACATATTGTCTATAACATTGAAACATTTGTGTCATTAAACCATATGATATGTGACTACCAATGGAAAAAAATAGTATCATTAAATCCTAAAATAAATTTAGAAAAATACGAGCGCTCAAGCTAAGTCAGAGAGTTGAACTTGGATGGATACGTTCCAATCTAACCAATTAAGCTATGCTCACTTCGAGGGGGCTCAAATTTCTCGACAAATGCCGAGAAAAAAAACTTGTCAAATGTATTGCACATTGCCAGAGCATATGAATCCACATGGTACATTATGTCATGCCAAAGAGATAATACACTACTGTCGATGCAATGGTCACATTATCTATGGCCTCTTATATAGTCTGATTGTTGATTCAACAACCACGTTGTCACAACTTTTTTTTTGTTTGTATAAATACCAGGCAAACTGGTATGGCATTTATAAAATTAATCCACCAATTCAAGTATTCATGAAAATATAGCAATATGTCGCCTCACTTCATAGAAGATGATTTATGTCAGCCCACAACAAACAACAAAACTACAAGAAAAGCCAAACGACACGTTCTCTACAACTTTTACTGACCGAGCTATTCCTTGCAACCCCATTTATAAAAAAAATGGAGAAACGAACTTGTTTCTTTTAACCGTATATTTCCCTTTATTTATGTTGCTTCTTGGAGAAGTGTTTCTTTTGTACCAAATGGCGACAATAGTCCCCAAATTAATTGTGCTCCTGCGTCTCCTCTGCCATGTCGCCACCGTAGTTCACCCTCGTCTGGTTGTTTGGCTTTACATCCTCACACGTTGTTGTCACCTGCAACTCCATGGCACCACAAGTAGGGTGAGAGTTGAAAGGGTTTGCTGGTTTGGTGGGTTTCTTGGACGATTTAAGAAGCAAGGGGTCCAAATGTTATCGGTACTGTAGTTACATCATTATAGGCCCACTTTACGATATCGATTGCATTATTGACGGCTCGGTTCAGGCCAATCTCAATGATGGTGAGTTTCATTACACTATTTTCAAAGTGCCACATCATGTTTACAGGATTTGGTTGATGAATGAAAAAGCCTCTATCAGTGTATAGTTTGATCATAGCATTAAATATTTACATGGTTTTTGTGATAAAATGTGTAAATAATGGCTACTTGCAATACTATCTAAATTAAGTACTAGCATACAAAAATATCAAACAAATAATAGTTTAATTCACTCTAATACTCATATACATATAGTACTCCCTCCGTTCCAAATTATAAGTCGCTTTGACTTTTTGTTCATCATCCATTTTGCTATGTATTTAGACATATTATTTATCTAGATACATAGCAAAATGGATGTACCAAAAAGTCATAGCGAACTTATAATTTAGAACTGGATGAGTACATGATAAACATGGAAGGCATAATGCACAGTGTGAATTTGGGCCACACGAGATTGGTCAAAACACATAGAGATGAAATCGTGAGCTCTTAATACAGGTTTTATGGATGTTTTATTCCCTAGGAAACAATGTCAACTGGTTTTCATGAGGATGAAACTCATCTCCTCTGTCGCCTCTTAATTTTCATACCATTTTAACTTTTGGGCATTGGCCAAACAGCTAGAATCTAGGTTGTTATACAACCATCTACTTGTGAAGACTAGTTTTTAACAATCCAGCTTTCCACAATTTAGGATATCTATACATTGTCTTTTAGAATCCCTAGATGAGACAAACAGGTAAAAGGAACCAAGTAACTAACTGGAACCACGACCACCTTCAGCTACCTCGTGCAATGAACCATGGTTTTCTTTGGCCAGTTCTTGCACTCTTATCCAACTCCTTTCTCTCTGTCTCTGGTCTCCGTCATCTAATCACTGCCTTCAACATCTCTCTTGCTTGCATTGCCTTCTAGCCACTGACCTTCAACCCCTAGTCCACTTCCTAAAAACCATATGGACAGAAGACCTAGCAAATAACAAACTTATACAAATTCTTTCTAATGCCTCTAGAAGGCCATCATCAACGAGAATGGTGTTGGCAGTTGCCATGACTAATTGTTCCTTAATTGGAAAGACATGATATCACTATTTTTTGATAAAATCATGAAAATCCTTTCAAATATATCGAAAAAGTTTTTTTTTTTTTGAAACCTGATACCTCCATAGTGACATTTTGCATCTCTACATTTGCGACATGTGACATCTAATGATGCTTAGATGCACTGAGCTCTTTTAAAGAAAAGTTTAAGTAAGTAGTTTTAGATCTTTTCATGATTTCACCCAGAAGATAGTTTACACCGAGTATTTTCTCTACTTTATTACCAGCCTTATTTGGATGACAAAAAATCCACAAAGTTCATGTGAAAGTAAAAGTAACACATGCTTCTATGAAAATTCAAGGAGTTCTTGTAAAAATGACAAACATGTAACTAGATCCATTTGGGATGTTCTAAATTAGGAAGTTCAGCTGTAAAATTGAATTTCATAATCATAATAATTAATATAACATCACAAATTCACAAGCTAATGGCTGGCGCCGTCGCCGCCTCCATGCAGTTCGGAACGCCACCGCCTTCTCCGGCCGCTCGGCGCGCCCCCACCTTCCACGCCGACCCCGCCGCCGACGCGAGGCAGCTCCTCGGCGCGCTCCTGCCGCCGCGCCCTGCGCTCCACCACGTCCTGCAGGCCCACGCCCGCCTCGCCGTTCTCGGCCTCGCTACCGCGCGCGCCCTCCCGCAGCTCCTCGCGGCCCTTCCGCGCCTCCCGCTCGCCGCCGCCGCCGCCGCCTCCTCCCACTCCTACCCGCTCTCCCTGTTCCGTTGCGCCAGCTGCGCCTCCGCCTTCGCGTCGAACCACCTCCTCCGCGTGCTCCCGCACCCGCTCCCGCTCCGCCTCTTCCCGCGCCTCCCACGCCGCAACCCCCACTCCTTCACTTTCCTCCTCGCTTCCCTCTCCAACCACCTAGACGCCGACCCTGCCGCTGCAGGCTCCATCTCCTCCCGCTTCATGGGCACCCACGTGCACGCGCTGGCCGTGAAGGCTGGCGCCGCGGGCGACCTCTACGTGCGTAACGCGCTGATCCACTTTTACGGCGTCTGCGGAGACGTGGCGGCGATGAGGAAGGTGTTCGACGAGCTGCCGCTTGTGCGGGACGTCGTGACGTGGAATGCCGTCCTCGCTGGTTACGTGCGAGCGGGCATGGTGGGGGTTGCGCGGGAGGTGTTCGACGGAATGCCGGTGAGGGATGAGGTTTCTTGGAGTACGGTGGTAGGAGGTTATGTGAAGGAAGGGGAGCTGGAGGTCGCGCTAGGAGTGTTTAAGAATATGGTGGTGCAGGGGGTGAAGGCAAATGAAGCGGCAATAGTTACGGCACTGTCAGCAGCTGCACAGCTGGGGCTGCTTGAGCAGGGGAAGTTTGTGCATGAAGTGGTCAAGAGAGCAGGAATGGCAATGAGTGTGAACTTAGGTGCTGCACTGGTTGATATGTATTCCAAGTGTGGAAGTGTGGCAGCGGCGAAGGAAGTTTTTGATGCCATGCCCAGGAGGGATGTGTTTGCTTGGAACTCCATGATCTGCGGGCTTGCTACCCATGGATTGGGGCATGACGCAGTCCAGCTCTTTGAGAAGTTTGTCAGTGAGGGGTTTTGCCCTACAAGCATCACATTTGTGGGGGTGCTAAATGCCTGCAGCCGTACTGGCCTTGTTGATGAAGGGCGGTGGTATTTCAAGCTGATGGCAGAGAAATATGGTATTGAGCCAGAGATGGAGCATTATGGATGCATGGTTGATCTTCTGAGTCGTGCTGGTCTTGTTCAGGATGCCATTGAATTGATCGAAGGGATGTGCATCCTCCTGACCCAGTTCTCTGGGGCACAGTACTCTCTGCTTGCAAGAGACATGGCCTCGTGGACTTGGGCATTACTGTTGGTAATAAACTAATTGAACTGGATCCAGCTCATGATGGACACTATGTCCTCCTTGCAAGTATATACGCAAAAGCAAAGAAATGGGATGAAGTCAGGAAAGTTAGGAAATTAATGTCTAACCGTGGCACTAGCAAGTCAGCTGGTTGGAGCTTGATGGAGGCACATGGAATTGTGCACAAGTTTCTAGTAGGGGACATGGATCACAAGGATTCTGTACATATATATAACATGCTTTGCATGATTGACAGAAGGTTGGCTGAGGCAGGCTATGTACCAGACGTGTCATCAGTCTTGCATGACATCGGGGATGAAGAGAAGGTTCATGCGATTAAGGTGCACAGCGAACGGCTTGCAATTGCTTATGGGTTCATTGTTGTTGAAGCTGGCAGCCCAATCCGTATTGTCAAGAACCTTAGTGTGTGTGGCGATTGTCATGAATTCAGTAAGATGGTGACAAAGGTTTTTGGCAGGGAAATTGTTGTGAGGGATGGTAGTAGGTTTCATCATATGAAAGATGGAAAGTGTTCTTGCCATGATTATTGGTGATTAATCATTTGACATTGTTTCTTTTCAACTATGATGTGGAATTTAGACCATGATTTTGATATACTTGAAAAGCTGCTGATTGACATGAGTTCTGTTTCTGTGAGATTCTGATATGCCATTTCAGATGTCATATAAGGCCTCTCCTCACCGAGTTCACAGCTACAGCTTATAAGAGGTATTTTAATCTTTCTAAAGTAAAGCTTACAGTTTGTTCGTTCTGATGATAAATAGTCTTTGGTTTTCTTTTTTGTTTTCATTCTCACTTTATACACACACACACACACACAACAACAACAACAACAACAACAACAACAACAACATAGCCTTTCAGTCCCAAGCAAGTTGGGATAGGCTAGAGTTGAAACCCACCAAGAGCCCCAAGTCACGGTTCAGGCATTTTAATAGCTGCTTTCTAAGTACTCATATTCAAACATAGATCTCTAGGTATATCCCAAGCTTTCAAATCTCTTTTATTGCCTCCCCCCATGTCAATTTCGGTCTTTCTCTACCTCTCCTCATATTATTAGCTTGGCTTAGGACTCCACAATGCATTGGTATCTCTGGAGATCTCCTTTGGACATGGCCAAACCACCTCAACTGATGTTGGACAAACTTTTCTTCAATATATATATATATTGCTCAAGCAGCCAATGATCCATACATCTTGATGACTGTTAAGAAATTTCTGGAGCATCCTCATGAAGCAAGAGGTACCTTCAGCTCCCACCTTTCTCCAAAATTTAGACAAGTTGGTGGCATCAACAGGGAAAGATAGATATGGTTTATCATCTTATGGTTTTGCCTCTCTCACAATCTCTTTTCATTTGTTTCCTTCATAGGCTATCAGAACCCCATTTTTATTATCTGTAGGGTAGGCATGTCCTGTTATTTGTTACTATGTTAGCACTTAGCACCAGCTGCGAACTCAGTATGAAACGGAGGAAATCAGTATGTGAACAATGTTAGAATCACAAGGGAAAGATAGATATGCTCAAACACGTGGACGTGGTAAACACATGTTTAATGGAACAAGAAGTTTTACTATACTTGCCTAAAGCTGACAATTTAAGCAACTAAGCAAGCACTAAAATGCTCTTCAGAATTCTGCGTTGAAAGTCTTCATTTCTTCAATAAGAATTTCAAGCAGCTAACAAAAACTGAGAAACTGTGCTTTTGTAAGTGAGCTGATGATTCAATAATACCCCCCTTCTTTTGGTGATAATTTGCAGTGTGCTTTATTTTTTATGGAATACTGAAGACAATTATTAAAAAGTGCATGATGAAGTTGGATCATTTTTATGGATAAGGAACAGATTGAAAGCAGTGCAACTTTTACAAATATTGAAGGTCAAGTGTTTTACCATCCACTAGCATAAATTATACTCCTTTCTGGCGATGAAGGATAAGCAAAGGAATATTTGCTAGGACCTGGGAAGCCACGATTATTTGATATAGGAACAGGGAGTTGTTATGAGGTATCAACTTGAACCATATGTAAATCTACTCTCAGTCAACCAAATTGCAGGTTTTGTAGTTGAACTGCCTCCTAGGACTTGATCCTCCCTGCCGGTAATTAGTTTTCCTGTTATCTTTCCATGGTATCTAAGAGGTTAGAGTTGAGCTGAGCTGCCCATGTTAACACCTCAATCTTCTAATTGTTATAACTAGCTGTTTGAATTTTGAAATCCACCAGTATCATGTACATAATCTAAACATCCTTGCATAGAGCTGTTTCTTGGAGTTTAACTGTACAGGTTTTGCAGGAAACTGAGCCGTTAAAAGACTATAAACCTTGTTATGCCTTCCATTATCTACACAAAGAGTTAAATTTACAGTCCTCTAGTTACCTAGAATTTAGCAAAATGTATTACTTTTCATAATCAGACGTTCATTTTTCATGTCGGTTTCAGCTGAGCATCTGTTAGTCTCCTTGATATATTTGCTAGAGCATTGAGGTTATCACTGCTGGCATTGTGCTGCAATCAGTTCTTCACTTCTCCTGTCCCCGGTATGCAGAAATTGAGGAAGAATTCTCTGACACATACAAGTAACGACCAGCTGTCATTTTTTTTGGATCAGCACAACTGATTAGATTGTAGATTCTCACTTGTATGGACTTGACACCTAACATCAGAAAAAAGGGACGTAAGAAAAGTTCAGTGCAGTGGCTGAGACTGAGAGTGCTCGTAAAAAAAATAAAGCAAATGCAAAAAAAAGTTACCAATCCCGTGTTTGGTTTCGACTTCGGCAGTGTGCGCCCGGACGTATGGACCGACGCTCGCGCCTACATTCCTTCTCCCCATGTGCACTGCGCATCCTGCTCCCGTCTATTCAGGGCCCGTGCCGCCCTTCTACACGTGGGGAGTACCTACTCGCACCCCCTTCGCTTCTCACGTGCATGCATCTGGCCAACAGCTGCAGGGAGAGGGCGCGGATGCCCAGCCGGCATCGAGAGGAGGAGGAGACACCGAGGCGAAGGTGAGGCAGCAGAAAAGCGAAGACTCTGATGCAACACTCATCTACTTTTGAAACATCCGGATGCAACACTTGCAACATACGTCTTAAGGCAAATGAAACACATGAAACATGCATCTGAAACATTAGCTGCAATATCATATCTACTTTTGAAACATTCAGATGAAACACTTGTAATATACGTACAAAACAGCTGAAACACTCGAAACATGCGTATGGAACACTTGCAAAAAACACCTGAAAACACTTTATATGTGTGAAAACATATGCAACATCTAGATGAAACAATTATAAACATACGTCTTGAAAACGAGATGAAACATTTGGAACATACACTTAAAACATATGTGTATAGCCACTGCAACATGTGCAACATTCCGATCTACTTTTGTATATATAAGATGAAACACTTACAACAAATATAGATGAAACATCTGAAACACTAAACATACTCTTGCAACATGGGCTTTACTCGGACGAATGGAGGCACGTTGGCACGGATGTCGACAGCGGCATGGACCTCGCTGTGCGGCAGCGGAACGGGCAACTCGCCGACGGCATGACGTCACACGAATTTTGTCCCCGCAGCCTGCTTGCTGGAGCATCCGTCGTGGAGGCTCACCGGCCGATGCGATTGAGCGAGGCGGCACGGGGCCGGGAGAATGCAAGTCGAGGAGGCAAGCAGCGAGAGGAGGTCGGGGATGGGGCCCGCGCCGAGGCGGGGCTTCGATCGGCGGCGGCGGGCTACGATGGGCACGGCGACGGTGAAGAAACGGGGCAAACTTCTAGCGGGATGGAGTGGATGGATAAGAGTGACGCGGAAGGAAGAAAACGGCGCCGCAAACTTCTAGCGCGCGGACAGGACAGAGCGGATAAGAGTGAGCGAAGGGAGACGTCCGTCGGGCCGTGCTAATGGTATCATTATGGTTTCACCTTTCCAACGGTTCCATTCTGTTTTTCACGGAATCGTCACAGTTTCAGTTTTCATGCCCCGCCTGTCATCTTCCCGTGCGCATCTTCTTCCCACTGGGCCGCGCGGCTCGCCGGTCTCTTCGCAGCAGCGCCGCCTCCTCAGTCCTCACCGCAACGCGCCGCCCTCGCCCCGCGTCGCTCTCGTCCACTGTCGCCGGGCGCAGGAGCCGCAAGATCGCCCAGCCATCGTGTGCTCGCTCGGACTCACTCCCCTGCCTCACCGGGCCGGCGGGAGGACTGGGGGTTCGCTGGCCCATCAGACCATCAGCAACGTGATTGGGATTTGGGAGCAGCATCGTCTTCCTCGCGCCGCCATTTCTCGCTCGTCTCAGTTGGAATCCCCTGCCTATCCGGGCACGGCGGGTGGACTGGGGGTTCGCTGATCAGATGCGGCGTGCGGGTCCTTGCTCAGCGGCGGGGCTGGGAGGTCTGAGCGGATTAGATGTGGATGACATGGAGGTTCCTCCGCGCAATCCGTCTCCGGCATCTGAGGTAAGACTAAACGAGCGAGGACTTTTATCATGATCTCAACACGACACCACCTGCACTGTTGTTTCTTTCGGTCTAATTGATTCAATCAATTCTAGCCCGAACGACAGGCGAGAAGCCAACATTGGAGGCCGGGGTTTCGCCAATAATGCCCCGGCGCTGAGTACCAACAAAGGGAGTTTGTTGAGAGGTGGAGGCCTCTGTGCTGGGGAGAAGCGGAATTCAATCTTTACTTGCTTTCCAGAGGAGTCTGGTGGCCTCCAATTTGGAGCAGAAAACTGGAAAAACGTTCAAAGCCGATGTCCATTCTGCACTAAAATCCTGCTCTGGTATTGGGAGTCTAGTTATAGCCAAGTGCTCTCACATATTTGACAGAAATGAGGACACCTTTGATGGAAAGTGCAGCTTGCAAGATGTTCTTAAGCCTGGTTTATGGCTCTCACCGGAGATCTTCCGCCGGTTTTGGTGTGTCTCTGAGCTGAAGCCTAAGGATTTTCTTGACATTTTGATTGGTTTTGGACCCAGTGCTGCAGAAGTGAGAAAGGCAAGATTTCTATGGAATTTGTACAGGTGGGCCTCGCAGCAGAGCAAGGAGTTCCAACATCTGCCAAGGTCAAATGAGGCGATGGTATCTATACTTGCAGATGCTCATATGCTCGGTCCAGCTGAATCACTACTGTTCTCATTGGTTGATCATATGGCTCCGGCTGTTTCAAGTGAATTATTCAGTCAGATTATCCAGGCGTATACAGAAGCACGCAACCTTGAGAAATCAGTTGCACTTTATGATTATGCAAGGCGCAAGCATTTGATTCCTTCAGTTTCATGCTATGAAGTACTTCTTCATTTTCTGACCAGAAACAGAAAGGATGAATTGATTTTAAGAGTATATTTGGACATGCTTAAAGTTGCATTTGGCTTCTGCTGGGTTTCAACTCTAGCCTACCCCCAACTTGTTTGGGACTTAAAGGCTTTGTTGGTTGTTGGTTGTTGGTTGTTAAAGTTGCATTTGGTTCTTGCACCAAAGGAGATATTCTTGATTATGTTCTCATGTCTTTAATCAAGAAAGATAAATTTTTGCAAGCTCTTGGTATTCTTCGGCAATTAAAGAGTTTGGGTCTTAAATTAAGCAAGGGAGCCTTGTCAACTATAGTACAAGAATTTAACAAGAAAAAAGAAATTGGGGATATGATGAATTTCTTGGAAGAGTGGAGGTGTTTACCTGAGTTACGTCCAGAATCCTTGCATCTTCGTGCACAAATCTTGGTACTGATCAGGCATGGTTGTTCTTCCAAAGATTGGAGGCCTTAGGGTTTGCTCCAGACGCTACGACTTTTGAAATTTTTATAGTTCATAGCTGTAGAGAAGTGAAACTGAAATCTGCACTTGTATATTTATCAGAGTGCTTTTCTAGGCATGTTAAACCTGGAGTTTATGCTTATAATGCTATTTTAGGTGGTGTTTTCAGGGAGGGACTGTACAGACATGCAAAGTATGTCTTTGAATACATGGTTGAAAGAGAAGTAATACCCAATCTTTCAACATATAAAATACTTCTTGCAGGATATTGCAGGTATAGGCAGTTTGATGATACTGAACAAGTTTTGAGGGATATGAAAACCAATGGTGTAAATGATCTTCCCTCTGGAAACTGTGTGTTCTCTAAGGCCTTATCATTCTTGGGGCTAGATCACCTAGGGGTGAAAACCAAGAGAGATAATGCCGCTGGTTTCCCAAAAGCTGAATTTTTTGATTCAGTTGGCAATGGACTGTATTTGGACACTGATTCCAAAATGTTTGAGAGTTCATTGGCGCAGGTTTTGGATAGTGCACTTCACCCAGATATTAACTCAGAGCTAGTCAGGGCATCTCAGCAAGGCAATGTTGCAAGTGCTCTTCTTGTGAAAGATGAAGCTTATCAATGGGGATACGACATTTCACCAGCTAGCTGCTCTGAGTTATTCGAGGCCTTATTCGTGAGCCCTGGTTATGTAATAGATGCCATTGACCTTATGGAGGAGATGCCAGATATGTTTAATAAACTTGATGCTCAAAAAGATTTAGTTGCTCAAACATTGAGTAGGAAAGGAATGTCTGCTCATGCAAGACTGGTTTTAGAAAAAATGATTAGAGAAGGTTTGTCAACCAGTCACAATACATATATTTAGGGTCTGTTCACTTGAACTTATCAGTCACCTTATCAGCTAGAATCTACAGTATTTTTCTCTCATAACAAATCAGTTTCAGCCGGCTTATCAGCCGGCTTTAATACCAGCCAAACAGCGTGCGGGTTCGGGTGCACGTGGGGGAGGGGTGGCGGGGGAGGGGGAGCCGCAATTACCATATTAACCTTCCACTCATAAAATTAATTAGCGCTAATTAATTACTTAGGAACCAAGAGGAACCAAGAAGTACCCCAACCACTGTAAAAGAGCTCATCATATATACCTGTGCAGTTATATCTATATCTAAATCTACTTTACTGGAATATTGGATTTCTTGCTGAAGTCGTGGAAGGTCGGTGTGTCTGATATTGCAATGGGGTTGTGTGATGAACTTTATTTTTTTACGTGAATGAATTGCATTTCCTCCTTGCTTCATCGCTGATCAGCATATTGGCCTGAGTCTTATACGGATTTAGCCTGGCATGTACGTTGCAACCTCTGCACGCTAAATTTTACTGACGGGGTTGCACAGTTACCCTACAAAAAAAATGCATGTAATTTCAGAACAAAGATAAGTTGATGTGGTGTTCTGACTGTAACTACAATAAGAACTTGGGGCCTGTTTGGAACACTGGAATTGAAAACATAGTGTCGGTGCGGAAAGTGACCAACAAGTAATAATTTGTAGTTTTGCCATACGTTGTGATCGGAGGTGGCCTAGCACTCAATAACACAGGGTTTATACTGGTTCAGGCAACGTGCCCTACGTCCAGTTTAAGTCGGTCGGTGACTTTATTCCTGAGTCCAGATGCTCGAAGTTTGCAGTGGGGTTACAAACGAGAAGGAGTAAGATGGGGTGGACAAGAGGTCCGGTCGGCTCGGTCGGAAGGGCCGAGAGCGACAGGAGCTCCGCTATGAGCTAAGTGTTCAAGCGTGTGCTTGAGGTCCGAACCTGACGGTTCTGTGGTTGTGAGCTAATGAACTTGATCGATCTAATGAGTCTGGAATAACTTGTATGAACTTGAATCAACCTCCCTCCTTGGGAGAGGGCGCATCCCCTTTTATAGATGAAGGGGATGGCCTTACAGGTGAGAGGGAGGGAGTACGTATGCTTCTAAGCCTTGCTGCCCACGCCGACGGGTACAGGATGATGGTAGACGCCCACAATACTGTTGGTTGTCAGATGCACATGGGAGGTTACGTCGTCTTTGTTCGGGTATGGCAGATGTCGGTACCTGCAATACTGCTGATGCCCGGAGGCATGTGAGGGCTTTTACCATGTTCTCCTGGTATGGTAAATGTCGGCGCCCGCAACACTGTCGATGCTCAGAGACATGTGGGGGGCTTTACCGTATGAGGAGTTAATAGCGCCCACAATACTGTAGAAAAATGTCGGCGCCTACAACACTGTTTATGTTAGGGCGGTTGTAGAGTACTGTTCCTGTAGGTGTATAGAGTACGATCCCTGGTATCGTGGTTTGACTTGTGCGCCTTGCCTTGCTTTCTTCGTTTGTTCCCTGGTCCCTTCCGAGCGGGCGTCCCGGTCGGTTGGTCCCAACCAGCTCTGGTTTCGCCAGTCGGAGAAGAGCAGCGAGCAGGGTCTTTGCATACCCCGGTTGGAGACGTGGGGTCGGAGTTGAAGGTAGTGCTTTTGCCAGCCTTCTGGTCGGAGAGACCGTCCGGATGCTGCTGGAGACCGAAGTGAGTACTCCGGTCGGAGAGGTGGGCCGGAGTCGACAAGCGAGCGCTGCTCCTCCTTGGCCAGACCTTCCGATTAGTGACTGGATCGCCCTTTTGGCCTGTTCGTTGAGACTCTTGGGACGGCCCATGAGTTGCGTGTTGTCTGCTTGGGCCGAGCCATTGCGGGGAAGCCGGTCCACGAGGGACCCCGGGTTTATGAACCCGACAGGAGCCCCCGAGCCCCCGGACGATTCGGGTATAATTGTCTGGGGGTTTTTACCTTGACGGCGGGTGCGCGCGAGCGCACCCGCGGGTGTAGCCCCCGAGCCCCTGGGCGGTTCGGGCTGAACCGTCTGGGGGTGTTTGTCAGCGGGCGTGTGTGCGTGTTTTTTAGTTGAGATGGAGTTGTCAACCAAGGCATCGTTGCGCAGCCGTGGCGTTTTTTAGTTTTTTTTAGGGATCGGGTGAGACAGAGCTCATGGATCTTGGCATCGCTGCGTGCCGTGGGATCGGGCGAGTCAGAGTCACAGATGGGTCCTGGCGTTGGTGCGCGCCGTGGGATCGAGGCAGTTAGTTTTTAGGGATCGGACGAGACGAAGCTCGCGGGTCTTGGCGTCAGTGCGCGCCATGGGACCGGGCAAGTCGGAGTCGTGGATCCTGGCCTTGATGCAGCCTGTGCAACCGAGGTAGTTAGTTTAGTTAGTTTTAGGAATCGGGCGAGCCGGAGCTCGTGGATCCTGATGAGGCGAGTTTGGGGTCGCAGTCCCAGGCGTTTGGTGTGCAGTCGAAGCATAGCCAGATGGGGCGAGTTCAGGGTCGCAGACCCAGGTGTTTGGAGTGCAGTCGAAGTGTAACCGGATGGGGCGAGTTCGGGGTCACAGACCCAGGCATTTTGTGTCTTGATCCCCCGAGCCCCGTTTGGGCCTTAGTAGGGGTCGGTTTGAGTTGTGTGCGTTACCCCGTCCTCGGTTCCTCATAACCGGAGGGGCTGAGTTTTGTCGCTTGTCCCGATCGCTCAGGCTCGAGTGACACGCTCGGTGAGTTCGCTAATGGGTATGATCAAGTGAAATCCGGGTACATCGTTCGTGACGGGGTCGGCATAGCCCTCTTGTGATATTCCACTGCTCCCTTACCTGCAACCCAGCAGATGCCTGGGTCGTTCCGGAGACCGACCCGGGTGGCCTAATGACCTCCCCTCGATGGAGATTATGTGGGCTTGGCAGAGGCTTAGGATTGAACGAGAAGATTGAGATGACCCTGTCTGTCAGACTGGGCAAGGGCCGCACAGGGCTCATCTGTGTTTTTCTCCCCTGGCTCTGTTGTTGCTCATGTTGAATGAGGCAACTGCCGCTTCGTGACGCAACACGGAGCGCTGTGATGCATTTTGCTGCATGTGCGATGCTTAGTTCCCGAGCCCTCGGGCGGTTCAGGGCCCGAATCGTCCGGGGGGCGTGGGCGTATGGAATGAATGCGCGTATGGATGTATGAAATGATTTAAAATAAAGAAATAGCGGGGGTCAGTAGTGTTACCTTGATGACTCGAGTGACGGGGTTTGAAGAGCTCCAGTCAGAAATGTCCGACCAGGACCCGTGCTCGTCGTTCGTGACGGAGTCGGCATGGCCTACATGGGTGAAAGGTCCTAATATGGCTAGAGGGGGGGTGAATAGCCTATTTAAAAACTACAAATCAACTAGAGCAATTTGATTAGTAAGACAAATAGCAAAATGCAAACTTGCTCTAGCTCTACAAGGGTTTCAAGCCACCTGTCCAACAATTCTAGTTGCAATGATCAATTGGCACACAATCTACTTGACTACTACTCACTAAGAGCTCTCACAAATGCTACACTAAAGAGCTCCACTAGATATGTTTAAAGCACAAGGCAAGCTCTCAATTCTAGTTACACTAAAGAGCTTGCTATATCTAGTTTGCGAAAATGTAAATGAGTAAGTGATACGATTATACCACCGGGTCGTGGAGTGAACCAATCACAAGATGAAGATTGAGCCAATCACCGGGAGAATGCAAATGACAAGAGACAACCGATTTTTCTCCCGAGGTTCACGTGCTTGCCAACACGCTAATCCCCGCTAACGGACTAACACTTGGTGGTTCAAGTGGAAAGAGGTGTTTCACAAACCTCGTCCACACGATAGGACACCGCAAGAACCGACCCACAAGTGAGGTAACTCAATGACACGAGCAATTTACTAGAGTTACCTTTCTACTCCGCGGGGAAGGTACAACTCCCTCACAATCACCGCGGCCACGAACAATCACCAACTGTGCCGATCCTTCACCGCTGCTCCAACTGCTTAGGTGGTGGCAACCACCAAGAGAAACAAGCGAAATCATGAAATAAGAACACGAATACCAAGTGCCTCTAGATGCAATCACTCAAGCAATGCACTTGGATTCTCACCCAATCTCACAATGATGATGGATCAATGATGGAGATGAGTGGGAGGTCTTTGGCTAAGCTCACAAGGTTGCTATGTCAATGAAAATGTGCAAGAGTTTCCCCTTGAGCCGCCATGGGGGCTATAAATAGAGCCCCAATCAAATAGAGCCGTTATACCCCTTCATTGTGCAAAACGCTCTCGACCGGACGCTCGGCTCATCTGACCGGACGACGCCCTCGCCGTCCGATCGCCTTGGATCGCCACGCGTCACCAGCTTCAAACGCCGTTAACGGCTTGTTGATCGGACGCTCGAATGAGCCCCAGCCGTCCGGCCGCTTCCAGAAGCTCCCGAGGCGTATTTCTTCGACCGAACGCGTCAGTCCACCTTGACCGGACTGCACCATGTTCGGTGCTCAACCTTAGCCATCGTGTTGGTTGCGTCGACAAAGACGACCGGACGTAGTTTTCAAATAGTCCGGGTCATTGAAAGTGACTCAAATATCCGGTCGATGAGACCGACACCAAAGATATCATTTCGACCAACTCCATTTCAACTCTAACTTCTTCACCCTTGCTCAAATGTGCCAACCACCAAGAATTTGCATCCAACGCAATAGAAAATAGGCATTCCATTTTCTCAAAAGCGCCGAATCCCGCCGAGAGAGGGACCCAAACCCATCTCAACACTGCAAACACCACCTCCTTTGTAAATGTGCCAACACCACCAAGTGTATCACCTTGTGCACAAATGTTAGCATATTTTCACAAACATTTTAAAAGGTGTTAGCACTCCACTAGATCCTAAATGCATATGCAATGAGTTAGAGCATCTAGTGGCACTTTGATAACCGCACTTGATAGAGTTTCACCCTCTTAATAGTGCTGCTATCAATCCTAAATGTGATCACACTCTCTAAGTG